GATTTAAGACCCTAAAAATAATGTATCTTGTAACATTTTGTTTGGACCATCTAATTTTTAAGATTTTTAAATGTTAATATATCTATAGCATAATTGTTTTAGCTTTGGATTTCATACTTGTTGGTGGACACATTATTATCAAGTCATATTAGGGTTTCCGGTATTGAACATGTCATCAAGCCATCTAAGGGTTTGGAATGTGCCTTACATTGATTTTTGAAGGTTAGTGCCTCGTAAACCATACCTTTTATCGATATGCCCACTTTAGGTTTACACTATTTTTAACTTTAGATGTATAGAGGAAAAAAATGAACGTTTTTTATTTTAAGCGTGTAAAAAAAAAAAATCCGCTTTACCCGGTAGCAATTAATCTCAATTTCAAGTCAAACCGGCGATATTCTAATCCTATCCTTTAAGCTTGTCATAAAACAAAGAGAAAAGTTTATATGAGGTTGCAACCTTATACGGGGCCACTCAAAAAGTAGAAAAGAGTATTTCGAAGTTGGAAAATATTTTAGTTGATCATCTTAACCTCGAGGCATGTAGATACAAAGAAAAAAAAAATTAAAGTCTTAAAAATATTGCATCTTGTAAAAAACGTTTCTTAGACCATCTATTTTTAAGATTTTTAAATATTTATAGATCAGCTCGATCTATCTAATATTTTCAATTTTAGATTTTATAATTAGGGTTGAACATTGATTGTCAAACAATTGTAAGGTTATCGATACCAAAGGTACTGCTAGGAAAATTTCGACTTGAATAGTATAAGGTGGACATTTTATGCAAACTTCAATCTAAAAGCAAAATATATCCAGACTATGATAGGAAGAGAGAGGATCATCATCAATAGGAGAGAGAGAGGTTTTGAATCTTCATTGTTAAAATAATAATAATAGTAATAATAATAAAACGATATTTTTATTATTAAAATAATAATAATAAATAAATAAATAAGAGAGGTTTTCAATCCCACCTGTGAGAGAGCGAGATTGGGTTGGTTTGTTTTTCTCCCAATACGACCACTCGTTTTTCAAAGTGCTTTTATGAAGGTTTTTGTCTATTTGCCTGCTATTTTGTCTTCTTTTTACTGATGCATGTGCTTTTGTCTTTTGTTAATTGTCCAAGTATAGCTCCATTTTACTATCCCTATTTTACTCTAAGTGTTTGATAACTGGAAGTTAGGAGAAATTTTTTTTTTTTACTTATTATTGTTCATGTTATATGTTTGATAAAAAATAGAAGGTAATTTGAGAACTCCTTTTTACTGTTGAAGTTCCTGCCTTTTAGGCTTGAGTAAAGTTCCATAGTAAACCATGGAACTTGAAAAGATAACTTTTTATTTTGTCTATGATCTATATATAATATTATATATATATTTTAAAAATAAATATAAAATATAGTATATCATATATTATAGTATGTTATAAATATTATATATTTCCATTTAAATTATTATCTATATAAAAATATAATATATTTACCATATATCTTAAGAGTTATCAAACACATAAACTATGAACTCCTTAACTTCCCAGTGAGGTTATCAAACACATAAACCATTAACTTCTTAAGTAATTTCTAATTTACAATTCTTTAATAACTTCCAATTTCCAGTTCACGTTATTGCTTCTTGTTTTCAAACATGTCCTTAAAGAGGGACATGGGCCTATTGAACACCATAAAGCATAGTTATTGAGACTCAATTGATTGAGCCAGCAGATCGGTCTAATCGGTTTTGGTTGGTCTAGTCTAATTTATCAATTATTTAGAATTAATGTTCGACTAATTGTAGACGATTGGACTTGTCGATTTTGTTTAGATTAATGGGCAATCGAACCAGTTTCTACTTTGACCAGATCCTTTGATAGCTCATATATGTGGAAAGGGTGTGGACGGAGAAATTGAGATGGGGATTTGGAAGTTGGCATTTATAGGTGTTTCACATTTACCAAAATATATGATGCTCTCAAGAGAGTATACTATTTATTTACCCCCTTGAATAAAATATCATCTAGGATTAATTTAGGTCCCCAAATCTTGGGAGTGTAATCGCTTCAATCTATAGATGGGCAAGCTTTTTATGCTTACCCTACAACATAAAACATATATATTTCCCCTTATCCAACCGCCCATTATGAATGGAGGGTTAAGATTGCCCCAATCACAATGTCACGTCTCAATACTATTTTATTTTTAATATTTTTCTATAAACTATTTTGACACCAAATTTTGGACGTCTAATCCTCTATTAAATTCGCACTAGTAAAAAATATAAAAAAAATATTTCCAATAAGATAAAATAACCAAAATACCCCTAAAAGCTTTAAGGGGTATTTTGGTCACTATATTTTATCGAAAATTTATTTTTAATATTTTTTATAGGTGTGCCTCAATGAGAAGATGACACGTACCAATTTTTATATTCATATAATTGTATAAAAAAAATAAAAAAAATAAAATACTTTGAGACATCGGATCTGAGATCAAACGGTGAGTGGCTCTCTTGATCAAAATTGGACGGCTAGATGGTAGGGGAAGCATAGATCTTCTATGTTGCAGGAGAAGTATAGAAACCTCTTCCTCTATAGATTAGCCTCAATAAATAATTAAAATTTAATTGCACCCTCAATACCTTTAAAAAAATCATATTTCAATATTGAATAGAGACTGTCTAATTATTAGAGGATGAGATATAAGTGTTAGAAAACTCAAAATTCATCATTTTTCTTTTGAGAATAACCATCTAGTGATTATTCGGTAGTTCCAAAATCTCGTACTGTAAACTCCTCCCAAGTAAGCCTTCAAGCAAAAACTCATAAGTCAATTTTTTTTTTTTTTTTGAGAATAATCACCTAGCAATTCTTAAGTCGACATCTTCCCAAGTAAGCCTTCAGACGAAGAGGGTGGATGAACACTATGCTAATGTAGGAGCACGGTATACCTGTCCCATGGTTTTATAGTGCTTTGTAGAATTGGATCTAGGGAAAAATATTAAGAAAATGGGTTGTTGCGTCACGCTTTGAGAGACGTTATATAATGGAATTAGTGGGTCACGCCCCATATGTGGGTGTTGTTGGGCCAGGAATCTTACATATAAAACAAGAAAAAGGTTATGTAAGGTGTCACTTTAGATCATGAATCTTTCAAGCGAAACGCATCATGCCACTCGACTGCCAAACGAATTAAAAAATCTCCAACAAGTTATATATTCTTTTGCTTGATTATGACGGGGATCCGAATTTAGCCGATTCCCCCGTCAAATTGGGAATCGGGGAATTTTATAGGTGGGGAATGGGAGAGGTGAAATATGCAATTTTCTTTTTTTTGTTCTTATTTGTTTTAAAAATTCAAAATTGGACTCGCTAATTTGGCCATTCTTGAGTGGATAGGGAGGGACCAATTGGACAGCCGATTCGTGTTTTAAAACCCCCAATCATGACACTATTGAACACTATTGTTTTCCTAATTGGCTTTTAAAAGCAAGCAAATACGTCATTGAATGTGACTGCATGGATCATGATGTATTTCCTCTCTTGTAAATTAATATCAAAACGTTGAAAGGCTCAAAGTTTTAGGAGAAGAGAGATATGTTTTGGGAGCTTTGATAAAGAGGTGTGGCAAATTATGTTCCATCTTTTTACCCTACGTTGTTCCCTCTTCAGACGGGATTGTTTATAAAAAGATTTTTTATTTTATTGGTACGTAAAAGATCATAATCATTATTATTTTTTAAAATTTTAAATGAGTAGTTTGTTGGATAGATATGAAGGTTAATTTTTTTTTTCAGACCTAATGGCTCACTTCAAACTATCCAATTTGATATTGAGAATAATTGCAATCTCTATATATAAAAGATAAATGAAATCTTTATAGACAATCCCTTATTTAACCCGTCTCATCTCCCTATTTTCTTTGCGTTTACTCTATTTAAGGATTATCTACAAATAGATCATTTATCTTTTGTACATAAAGGTCATCAATAATTTTTGTCTTTTAAATTTCAAAATAGATGGTTACAAGAGTGTTATTGAATAGATATAAAAAATAATAATTATTGGACTTCGTGATTCACACCAAACCATATAACTAATTGTGACCTCCAAGTATCCAAAATAAATATATATATATTTTGTTTTGTAGATAATCCCCTCTATTTGACCCCATCCATAGTGTGTACAGTCGTGTACTTTTTGCGGTAGCTCATGTTACGTGTATATTTTGTTTAGGTAATTCAATAAAAGAGGTAATCACCGTACTTTTTTTTTCAAATAGTTTAAGAGTTAGTTTTGTAAAAGTGTTATGTGATTATAATATAGGAGTGCTACCACCACGATTTCAGCCCCTTTTACATTTTATTGATTTGGGGGTGATAACCCTTACCCAAAAAATAAGAGCATGGGGCTGGATTGGGATGGGCTTGGGCGACCACCCCCTATCTTACTCCTTTATATCTGTTTCTACATCTACCATTGCACATTTATCTCCTCACCTTTTGCATATCTCTTCAACCTTCCTTTCTTTCTCTCTCTAGGGCTCTGTTTCTTTATTTAGGGCGTCTCTCTTACGCGAGGAAGTACGAAATAAGACCATTTATTTTTGGCAAAGGGAAGTTACAACTATTAATAGTTCTCATGTATAAATTCATTGTGAGTGATTGTGAACTTTCTATACTAAAAGTAGACGCAATGTTTATAGACAAAAACGAACATTGTTTTCACCCACAAGGTTCATGCTGTATGATTTTTTTCGAACGATGTGGATAAATTGATCGCATCAGACATGCCCATTATGGTACGATCAAATTTTCACGCAAAAAATTCGGGAAACATCAAGGGATCTACAAGAGTTGTTGAGATTTTTTCGGCAAAACCACAACTGCTCTATTGGACAACATACTATTCATTTTCTCCTTGTGACGTTTTTAATATTTTTTCCTAAAAATAAATGATCTAATTAGTATAAAATCTCCTCTTGTATACTCATATGCATTTACATCTTCACTCCAGTACCCTTATTTTCTTGCTTATTAGCTCTCTCTCTTCAATCTATTCAAAATTACTCCAACGCGCTGTCTCTCTCTCTCTAACGCGTTTCTCACGCTTTTATAAGAGCGGGCGGACTTGTCTCTGCCCCTCTGTAGGGAAGCGGGCAGGGGACTCTCCGTACGTTAAACGGAGCGGAAATACGTTCTCTTGGGTTTGGTTTCCTTTGCCCGCTCCCTGTTTCAAATATTAAACGTAAAAGTAAAAAACAAAAATCCGTCCTGATCAGGCTTCGCATAATTGAATCCCTAGTTTGCCCTAAAAATCGCTGTGTTTGGATGGGATTAGTCGATGTTCAGAACGCTGGATCATCGCCTTCTTCTTCTGGTTCGTTTTCATGGGGCTTTCAGAGCCTTATAAGGAGAAAGCAAGTTGATTCTGCTAATAATAAACCAGAGGGTACACAGTTAGCTAAGGAATTGTCTATTCTTCAGTTGATTGCCCTAGGTAAGCTTCAAAGTTCCCACCTTTTTCCTTCTTCTTTTTTCTAAATCTCATTTTTTGTTTTTTTGTTTTTTTTTGGGTAATTTTACTTGTACATTTTCTTATGTTTTTCTATTTTTCTCATTTATTTGAATTTTGTTTTACAATTGGTTCCTGTTTCTTTTTCTTTTACACCAATTAGTTGAAATTGTTTTTTTGGGTCTGAATTATGGGTTTCTGGGTTCAATTTTGAATTATTTTCTGATATAGTTTTTATGTGTTGATGTGAGGTTCGGGAATTTTGTGTCTTGTTTGCGTATGTGGAAATAATTCTATTTGCAAATTGTTAGGTGTTTATCACTGCTTTGCTGCTCCTTTCTGAGAAATTTCCCAGGTTTGGAACTGTTTTTTAAGGTTGAGTTTTTGAAGCTTTCAAGTCCCCGAAGGTTGCCAGATATTAACTATGATGGTTTTCAGTTGTTGTTATTCCTTCTCTGTGCTGTCACCACTTACCATAACTGTACTGTTCTATTTTATTTTCTATTATTCCAAATTTTTCGGAAATTTTAATATATTTTTCTCTCACAGTAAATAGTTATATCAACTGGCTTTTGCTGTTATAAAATGTGTCCATTTTCTTACGTTTTTCTATTTTTCTCATTTATTTGAAATTTGTTTTACAATTGGTTCCTATTTCTTTTTCTTTTACACCAATTAGTTGAAATTGTTTTTTTGGGTCTGAATTCTGGGTTTCTGGCCTCGACTTTGAATTCTTTTATGATATAGTTTTTATGTGTTGATGTGCGGTTCGGAAATTTTGTGTCTTGTTTGTGTCTGTGGAAATAATTCTATTTGCAAATTGTTAGGTGTTCATCACTGCTTTGCTGCTCCTTTCTGAGAAATTTCCCAGGTTTGGAACTGTTTTTTAAGGTTGAGTTTTTAGAACTTTCAAGTCCTTGAAGTTTACCAGATATTAACTTTGATGGTTTTCAGTTGTTATTATTCCTTCTCTGTGCTATCACCACTTACCATAATTGTACTGTTCTATTTTATTTTCTATTATTGCAATTTTTTCTGAAATTTTAATAAATTTTTCTCTCACGGTAAATTATTATATCAACTAGCTTTTGCTGTTATAAAATGGGTTTTCCTGCCATTAGAGATGGGGTGGCATAGTTGATTTCGAGTTTTATTCTCTTCCCCCCCTCCCCAATGTATGAGAACTAGATTCTTGCATTAATGTATTCGACAAATTATTGTTGATTTTGGTATTGATCTTCTTTTGAAGGTTTAAAGCTTGGGAAATACTGGAATTACTTTGTATTAATTTGTTCCTTGCTGTGCCATTGTTATCAGGCATGGATACAAGGGTGCTGAATATGCATAATGTGTAACTTGTATCAATTTTATTTAAATCTTTAGGCCAATATCTGCAGCTTTTCATGTGCAAATATATGTCACAGCCAACACACACACGCACTCTGATGGAAATTTCTTCTTTCCTTTAACATGTTGATTTATCCCATTAGGTGTTGGGTCAACAATTGGAGCTGGAGTATATGTTCTTGTGGGGACAGTTGCTAGAGAACACACAGGACCAGCACTTACCATATCATTCTTGATAGCTGGAATAGCATCTGCCCTTTCTGCATTTTGTTATGCAGAGCTTGCTAGTCGATGCCCATCTGCTGGGAGTGCCTACCATTATTCGTACATTTGTGTCGGAGAAGGGTAATATATAATCAATTATGGACTATTTCCAAATTTATGTGCTTTCTCTACCTGTAAGTTATTTTAATCCTGAGAGTTCGTGTAATAATGGAAAAGCATGATGAAAAAAAAAAAGTGGATATGCATACGTTTTTTCTCTTGCATGCTTCATGTTTTCTTAGGTGGTCTATTGAAGAATAGCATTATACTTTCTGAGGTTATTATGGTTTGCTTTGGTTGGGAGGCATGGTTGGTAGGCAGTATGATGGTTGCGTTAATTTACAACCAAGAGTTGGACCATGGGACATGACCTGTAAAATAAAAATGGGAACAGAGTTACAAGTAAAAGAAAGGAAAGGAATGATAGGTCAGGTGAGGGGAGCAGAGTCCCTAACCAAAATTTCAAAATGTGCATAAGCCTTTTGTCTTCTGAGAACAAATATAAGATCTTAGGCAAACATTATGATTCTTATTTATTTTCATGTATATCTTATTATTGTTGTTGGTTGTACGATCATTTCTATTGTATTTTTATAATGATTGCCATTATTTGTTGGTTGTACAATCATTTCTATTGGATTTTTATATTGATTGCCATTATTTTCACTAGTATTTTTTTATTTTGATGGGTCATCTTTAGTAAATTGATTACGTCTAGTTGCACTATTGTATACCTAAATGAGGGACCATTCTTGTTTCCTTTGTTGAATAATCATTATTTCTATCTGAAGTTTCTGATTTTGGCAAATGGAAATTTTTTTTCTCAGTATTGCTTGGATAATTGGTTGGGCTCTTATATTGGAGTATACTATTGGTGGCTCATGTGTGGTTCGTGGCATATCTCCAAATCTGGTAGGTTAGAACTTCATTTCGTCACTCTCTTTATCTTAACACTTTAAGATTGTCGTGAATCTTTATTACCAAGTGACATGAGGATCCGTCACACTTGGGGGGTGGGGGACAAGAAGATGCATCACACTAAATCTTGAATACCATCTATCTATATAGTCTTGCTTACTCATGAGTCCTTTGATGGATCTCTAATGCATGATTTAAGTATTAGGGAACATTGTTGTATGGGATTACTTCAATACATCTGTCTGTAATCAATTCTGATTTTTCTGAGTCCTCTTTAAAAATTACATCTTACATGTCTTTACTTTCTCTCTCGTTTATTTAATATTTTGGTTAAATATGTTTTTCTTTCTATATAGATTTATGTTATGTTCCAGAATTACAGGTTTAATTTTCATTCTTTTGTTTACCTATGATTCTGATGTTTCAGGCCTTTTTTTTTGGAGGGGAGGACAGTTTGCCTGCTTTTTTGGCTCGTGTAAGCCTCCCTGGGACTGACATCATTCTTGACCCTTGTGCTGCTTTTCTTGTACTTGTCGTAACTGGGCTCCTATGTGTGGGAATCAAGGAGGTAAGGAAGTATGTGACCTTTTTGTGAGTTCTTATTGTTGTATGCTGCTATTCTTTATCTTGTTCAGTTCATGAATGCTATGTCTTTGCAGAGTTCATTCGCACAAGCTGTGGTCACGACAGCAAATGTTTGCATCATGGTTTTTGTGATCATTGCCGGTGGCTATCTCGGTTTCCGTAATGGATGGGTGGGATATTCCCTTCCTAGCGGGTGAGTTAACGCTCTCGCTGTAGACACATGTTTTGTATTTTTTTTTTTTAAAAAAGAAGAAATTGTTAAGGCGACTGTTTTCTCTAAGTTGCTTTTTGATATGATGATTGTGTGACCTGAACATGTGGGACTAGTTTGATTTGAACTTACCATGTTTCATTGAAAAGACCAAGACCTACCTAGACTTTTGGAACTGGTTCTTGTCCTTCTCACTTTGCAAAAAATATTTGGATAATGACCAGCTCACTTTCAAGAGCTCTACCAGGGCTGTGGGGAAGAGGGGGCAACTGAAGTTCAGGATAATTGTCGTTGGGCATTCAGGAAGTGAAAAAGTGATTTTTTTTTGGAACTATCAGTCACTTCAGGATTTTGATATTATGATTTATTTTAGAAAATAAAATTCAATTTGTAGGGTTTTCTTTCTGATAATAAAATTTGATGTGCTAGTGAGTAGCATGAAAATGATCTTACAATAGCACAGCGCACAAAAAAGTTACAACCCAGAGAATGCCAGACCCTCAATTTTTAGACTTAGCCAACACCATTGCAGACAAATGAATCAGCAACCTTGTTGGCTCTATGTTAAATGTTGAAATGAAAATTTCAAAGCACTGGCTTTATCATGGATCTTTTCCCAAGCATTCACATCAATCTTGAATAGGTTAAGTCTCACTAGCCCATCGGATGAAATTAACCCCCTTCCTTGAGATCTGGAGAAAGAATTGACATAGATCCCCCGTGAAGAAGCATTGGTTCTTGAACCTTTTCTAGATTCCTCAGTACCAATCATTTTATTGAGGTCTTCCTAGGCCCTACTCACTTCTTTGTGTATAACTATGGTCCATAGTTTCCCATTAAGGATTGAAAAGAAATTTTTTCTCTACACTCCTGGGATCCCAGATTCTCACTCTTAAAAAAGAAATCTCTTCTTTTTTAGCTACTTCTGTCAAATGCCCTTTTGATTAATGTTGTTATTTTGCAAATCAAGGAATTACTAATCCATCTACTGCTATCTACAGATACTTCCCCTTCGGATTTAATGGGATGCTTGCCGGATCTGCAACTGTTTTCTTTTCATATATAGGCTTTGATACAGTTGCAAGTGCTGCTGAGGAGGTAGGAAATAACAGTTTTCGGCACATTATTGTATTGTGTACACTCTTTTGGATTGAGTGTAAGAAAAAGAATATGCAATTAGGAGTTGTTTGTAACTTAACAATAGAGTATTTGTTGGGTTCATCATTGTGGGTCTGTGGGTGCCTAACTGTATGCATGTGCGCATACATGAATGATATGATTCCTTGGTTTCACCTTCCGATTTGAAGCCAAGAAAGTACTATATGACAAGTGAAATGTCTGTGGGCAAGAAACCAACGGCTCTCCAGATTTTGATGTCCCTTGCCTTTGATTTTTAATTCCCCTTTTGTTTCTTTTGGCCTTTCTAACTACTTCATTCTTATTTCTTTCTCAATTTGCTAGTTCACTGTATTTTGTGAGCCTCATTTCTTGGCATATATAGAAGAGAACATTATCCTTGGATACTGCCCTGGTTACAAAACCTATTTGGGAGAATGCTTTTAATCTGAAGTTCTGGGAACCACCTAAGAATTACTAGATGATTATTTTCAAAAGACAAAACTTTGAATCTTGAGTTTTCTAATACTACATCTCACCCTCCAAAAACTGGACGGCCTCTGTTCAATCTTGAGACAATTTGTTTTACTTTCTCAAGCCCATAGAGAGTGCAATTTGATTTTTTTTTTTTCTTTTGAGATTAGTCTATGGGTAGAAGATGTTACATACCCAGAATTTGAGATCCTAAAGTTAATCCTAGATTGGGTTTTACATGAGGGAGTAAATGCATAGTATACTCCCACAGGAACATAATATCTTTCGGCTATTCAGTACTTACTTCATCTATATCTCATTCTTCCTTGTCACAGGTGAAGAATCCTCAGCGTGATTTGCCTTTGGGCATAGGGCTTGCATTGGCCATATGCTGTGTTTTGTATATGTTGGTATCTGCTGTTATTGTTGGTCTTGTACCATATTATGCTATGGACCCAGACACACCAATATCTTCTGCATTTGCTAGTCAAGGGATGCAATGGGCATCGTAAGTAAAAAATCAAAATTTAATGAATCATTTGTTTTTTATATTTTTTATCTTTTCATTGTTTTTGCATGTTCTTTTGCAAGCTTGTTGAGCATACGTCTGTTATGCCTGTTTTCTTGGTTGGGTATTATTTGATGGCATTTAGTTGTACTTCTCTTGGCGCTTCTTTTACAGATACATTATCACTGCTGGGGCAGTTACTGCTCTTTGTGCAAATTTGATGGGCTCGATCCTTCCTCAGGTACATCGCAAATCATTTAGATATGTTGGGAATATCATATATGATGTCCTAATCGCTTGACTATGATTGATTGTTTCATATGTTATTGGGAGTGGCACTTCCATTTTAGGAATTGTTAATCCTTATTTTGGAGAAAATATGTATAATTGGTAGGCTTGCTTTTCATTATGATAACCAAAAAGATACATGGAAAACAACTTATTTATCTAGGCAATATACATTTAACTAAAACTGGCCTATACTTTGGTAGTATGAGATCGATTTCAGCATTTTATGTGATAAATTCCCATTGTTAGAAATGTGAGGGAGAGTTACTGCACTAATATCGAATATTCTTGAACTAATAACAGTCAATGTTTCTAATTTTGACCTCATGCATTCAACTAAGTGCCTACTGCATGTCTTCGGATTTGTTATTTAGCTCATTTTTTATGAACAAGTGATATGTCTAACCTATGGCTTATGCGTTCACAAAATACTAGGTTAGAGGTGATGCATGGTCATAATGATGACCTCTAGATATTAGTGTGGTGTCCTAGTAGGGTTATATTCTTCCCGCGTTTCTGCAATTAGTAGTAATGATACAAATATTTTGCTTCAATGATTTAGTCAATGTCATTATTTGTTTGTATTCCAATACACCCCAGAGAGACAATTAGACATAATCCATAGAATGAATCACATTTGCTTGGTCACCCTACTCAATTTGGAGTTGTATGTACTCTGCATACAAGTGATTGATAATAAAGGATATTGGTTCCATCCTTCTGGCATCATCTTCAGTAATTTTTCCTGTTAAGATTATTTTGCATGAGGGCGTGCACACCATTCTCCCATGATAGGAAAAAAAATCAATTTAGTCCCTCGGGATCTATAGGAGGATTTTCTCGATTTGAAAATTTGGGTTCCACTTTAGAAATGCCAGATGAATATCTTTTCGGAAAGTATATAAAGGGACCTTTGGCCTTTTGTACAAGGTGGTCACAATTAATCTTGACCGCTGGATGTGAAATTGGGTGGCTGTATTTATTTCTTCTTGGAATTTGGTGCGATGAGTTACAATGAATTCATATTCATTTGGTAACACTTGATATTCACTTTGCTCTCTTGGAACACAATTTCATTTATTTTGTACACTGATCTCTCCTTGAGTGTAGATGTGAAATGGTCAAAGTTATTATTATATATAATTCCTTCAATTTCTACTCTCTGTGAACCATTAAGTACGTTAAGAACAAAAATTAATGAATTGAGAATTTACTGCAGTAAATAATGTAGATAAAGGATGTGCATTTATTTTGTGTGGGGTACCTCCCTATCTATAAAGAGTAGCCTCATGATCATGTTTGCATTTATTTTGTTTATTCATCTCTGTTGGCAAGTTGTTTTGTCTTTGTCCTTACAATTAACAATCGACCTTTTATATGATCATGTTTGTTTTACTCGAATACGTGACTGAATGGGTATCTCTCGACCTTCCATCTTGTAATCTGAACTAAGAAATTCTATTAATACAAAAAAGGATGTTACTTTTAGTTGTAGCATAAAAGCTTCAATTATTTTAGGTCAATAACATGTCTTTTTACTGGGAAGCTATGGTTTATTGTAAATTTCTTTATATACGATATTCTTTGTGAAATTTCCTATTTGTAATGAATATTCCTTAATAAACACTTTTGTGGTCTCTTAGCAGACATCCGATATTTTCAGTACACAGAAAAGATAATTTTTTTTTCAAAAAAACACTTGTGTTTTGTCTGTTGTACCCCTGGAGAATGCAACATATAGTTCCCCATAAGCGAAGACATAATACTCTAAAAAAATTCGAACGAAGGGGGTTGCTTGTCCTTGAGTTGTGTTGATTGTCATGGCAAATGCGAGGTGAATTGAAAATTGTCTCCTCTTGCATTTTATTGGATAAATTGAATCATTTGAAGGAAGTATTGGTATCATATGACTAAACATGTAAAATTTAATCAAGTCCATAATTCATCGAATTCAGGTTTGAAATATATGGAGCAAATGGTATACCCTAATTGACAACACCACCATCCTCTCAAAAAAGAGAAAAAATGTCACGAACAAAGAAAATAAAAGAGATTTCGAATATGCAATTTGTTGAGCTTCAAAAGGTATGAACTCAAAATGGATTACTCTATCATTTACTAATTTCTACATAGACTAATATCATGTTATCAAAGTATATGTTGGTGAAATGCTTTTTTTTCACAACTTGAAACAACAATACTTCATGTCGACAATGAAATATGGTATAGGAGATTATTGAAATGCTTAAAAAAAAACTTACTAATCGAAGAAACAAAATACCATAGCTCAATATGCGTTTCAGATGATGTGGGGATACTGGCCTCATGTAACTTAGTCATAAACCAAACTTATATTTCTTAATATTATATATAATATCTAAACATTTCACATATCACAAAAGCTTCTACAGGTATTGTCTTAAATGTCATCCAATAGATGATACGACGGAGTTAAAAATAACTTTCTTCAGTAAAGGCATAGTGCATTTATTAGGTACGACGGTGGAAGAGCTTTACAACCTTCAACAAAAAGTATAAGCACCACTGCACCACATGGAAAAGTCTTCCCAACGCCTATAGGCAAAAATGAACAGTGATTTCGCCTACCCTCATCTCCGTTCAAAGTTCATCGCACGGTCATGATTGCCCGATATTGTTTCATTTTTCATTTTTTTTTTCTACGAATTGGAATGACCTGAAATTTGGAGCGTATGTACACTTTAGTGAGGTGCACCTAATAAAAATATAAAAAAAATAATTCGCAAAAACAATATTGACCAAAACATCCCAAAACATTTTGGGGGTATTTTGGTCAATTTTTTTCATGTAAAATATTTTTTTTTATATTTTTCGTAGATGAGCTTATTTTTTATGAACACACGCCCAAATTTCAGGTCATTCCGATTTGTAGAAAAAAATAAAAAATGAAATACTACCGGACAGTCGTGAATGTGCGATGAACTTTGGACGGTGATGTGGGTAGGCGAAATTACTGTTCATTTTTGCCTATAGGCGTTTCGTAGTATCTTCCGCACCACCTAGTTTACTGTTCCAAATGCATCTTTTTCTCAAATTTATTTTACTACTTAAAGTCAATTACTTTTTAATGCATATATTTAACATTCTACTTGGAAATATTGTTGATGTTGCACAACATGCCATGCAAAAATAGAGAATTTTGAAAGTATGGGCCTCACTAAATATTTTTTACAATCAAGCAGTAGTGAAGTACATGGTTACAAGCATATCTGATATTCCGTAACAACAAAAGACAAAAGGAAGCCTAATGTACATAGATGAACTATAAAATTGATTCATTGTCCTTATTTGGTTTGAATATACTTACACTTTTATTCAACCTCTATTTAAATGTGGACAATATTTCCTCAAAGCACATAACATTCTATAAATAAAAGTTATTGCTTGCTTTTCCACTATGAATAATTTGTTATTCTTCTAATGTCATTGCATATCTATGCACTCTCCCATTGGCAAATCATGTGATTATTTATGTGATCGCTTATTGCATATCAGTGTGTTGTTACATTGCATGTCCATTAGTTTAATATGATAAATTATTTGTGATATTTAAAAAATCATAACAAATGAAGTAAATTAGAGATGATATTGATATGATTTACAAATGTATTAATTAGTTATAGACTTAAATAATTAGCATTTTTAATATTTATTATTACAATTCTGTATATAATTATAATAGGAAAATGGTTTGATAGTACTGCAGCCCTATGAAAATAAGTAAAGCCTCACCTCAAAACTCACCGAAAATTGCAGTTTTGGCATTGGAAAACCTTCTATGGATCATCCCGGCCTTGACCATTATGGTTGTGAAAACAAAAGATTTAAAGCTCTAAAAATTGTATATATAGTAATACAATATTTAGACTGTCCATTTCGCCCTAAAATTAAGTGTTCACAGATCCACAAGATTTGTTCACAGATCCACAAGATTTGTACTATCTTTTGAGCTTCTAATTTCATATTGATGTTGGAAATTGATTTTAGAGCCATCGTGGAGATTTCCCGATGCCCAAAATGCTTTCCAGACAAGGATATGAGGTGTGGCGTTGCTTTGTTTCATAAGGCCTAGGCCGTATAGAAACTGCATCCATTATAATATTGATAATTTTAGTACTATTGATATATAATTACATAATTAGATCGATATAATTATAAGATTTTCATAATATTTGCTTAGGATTGTAAGTATTTTTTGTAAGTATTATAATATTTATTACAATATTACATATAAATTGTTATATCGTTAATATTACAGTAATACATATATATTATTCTATCATCAACATTATTATTTCTATCACATTTTTAATATTACAACAATCTGTACTCTAGACTTCATAAGATTTAGCAAACGGCTTATGATAATTAGAAAAGCAAGCAATTCAATAATATGAAAATTTTGGTAAGAGATGACACTTTGTTTTAACAGTGTAAATTATGTGGAAAGTAAAAATAATTATGGATGAAGGGAATTGGATTTGAAAATATATCCAAGTTCAAAGCCTGACTAAATATAAGAAAAATAAAGATTGGAATAAAGCTGAATTTCAGGCATGTTACCTTTGAATTTGTTAAAAGATAAAAGATATGCAACTGAACGTTCTGGCATAATCTTTTAAATTCAAATAATATTTACAATTTTGAGCTAATTTCTTGATTGCAATTTAGTTTTTTTTTTTTTTTCGGAGAGTTGGTTAATGTAATTATTGTATTCATAAAACTCTATTTCTCGCATTGTGACACACATACACATCATTACTAAGTGCTTTTTATGAGATTCGTCATGTACTATATAATCCATATGGTCACCATAACCCTATGATGATGAGGTTATTAATTGTCCTTGATGGTGATGGATGGTGTGCGGGAAGGTAATATTCATTTGGTTGAGTACATGGTGAAAATTTATCATATTTCTTAGATGATGATGGCGGTACTGTGGGGATGTACAAATAAATTAGGTGAATAAGTGGCAAAAACTACTCCCATTCATCAACTATTACATGGTGATGAATTACATGCTATAGTTGTTACTATGATTATATGGTTCATATAAATAATATTTCTCCTTTGATAATCTTTACATTGATTGTCCTAAGACTTTCGAGCTATATTATTATATAGTGTTAGACTTTTGTCTTTTGAATCTCTTTCAAGATTCTTAACACTACACGTTCTACTGATCCATTTCTAATGCCTAGTAGTTACAATATACCGATAACCATGGGGTCAACATTGGGAAAATCCATTCCAAGAGTAATTATAGGAATAACAAGCATAAGGAGATGCATTTACACCCATTCATACCAATGAAACTAAAGGGGAAGTTTTATAAGATGGCTGTAAGACCAGCCATGCTCTATGGGACACAATGTTGAGCAGTCAAAAAATAAGCATATCGAGATGAGGATGTTGAGATGGATGAGTGGCAAGATGAGAATGGATAGGATTCATAATGAATACATACGAGTGAACTTAGGGGAGGCTCTCAATAGGCGATAAGATGAGGGAAAGTAGAATTAGGTGGATTGGTCATATGCAATGTAGACCTAATACAACACCATTTAGAAGGAGCGATTTCGTTCAAGTGGAAAGGTAAAGGGAAGGCCCAAAAGGAAAGTTCTAAAAAGGTAAAGGGAAGGCCCAAAAGGACATGGATGAAAACTATGAGAAGATATGGTAACTTAAGGTCTGACTGAGAGTATGGCCCTTAATAGAGCAGGGTGGC